TTTGTATAATGACAGTCTATTTTGCATATTATTTTTGTGCAGTGACAGTCTATTTAGTATCTTTTTTGTATAGTGATAGTCTATTGTATATAAATATTTTATATATTTTTTATATAGGGACAGTCTATTTTGTATATCTTTTGTATAGTGATAGTCTATTTGGTATATATTTTGTATAGTGATAGTGTATTTTGTATATATTTTGTACATTGACAATCTATTTAGTATATATTTTATATAATGACAGTCTATTTTGTATATATTTTATATAGTGACAGTCTATTGTATATAAATTATACAGTGACTGTCTATTTTGTATATATTTTGTGTAATGACGGTCTATTTGTATATATTTTGTATAGTGACAACCTATTGTATATAAATTGTATAGTGGGTCTATTTAGTATATTTTTTGTATAGTGACATCCTATTTTGTATACTGACAGTCTATTTTGTATATATTTTATATAGTGACAGTCTAATTTGTAGTATATATTTTGTATAGTAACAGTCTATTGTATATAAATTGTATAGTGACATTCTATTTAATATATTCTTATATAGTGACAGTCTATTTAGTATATTTTTATATAGTGGCAGCTTATTTGCATATATTTTGTTTAATGATAGTCTATTTTGTATATATTTTGTATAGTGGCAGTTTATTGTATATAAATTGCATAGTAATTAAATTACTTTCTCCGTGTGTACGGTGTGCAAAACAAAAACATGAAAAATAAATCAAACAATGGAAAATCTCAAATTAAATCGGGTGAAATAAGTTACTACATATCATAGCAAAGTCATGAATTTAATTATTACATTATGGCCTTATTGTATGGGTCAAAAACTGTCTTTAGGATATTCAGATCAAAATAACACTGCAAGAAGGATCCACAAATCATCATTTACAGACGATCATGAAGTCATATTAGCCGAGGTCAAGGAGTCTGAGAAAGTCGTGGTCAAAATACTGAGGAGGACCAAGGTCGAGAAGTCGAGAAGAGTCACAGTCAAATCATCAACGAGGATCATGGTCGAAGAGTCGAGGAGGGTCGTGATCGAACACTGACAATAGAGCTGTAACGGCTAGTTTAGAGAATATTTCTTACATTTGTACTGTTAGGGCTTTTTGGGAAAAGATCCCATATATATAGAAGGAAGAAAGAGAAGAAAGGCATGTGAAAAATTCATTCTTGTAAGAACAACACTTTGAAAAAAGATTTATTCTTCACTCAATACAAGACGTTACCTTTTATTATGATTCTTGCCAGATCCGAGGAATCCTCGACTATTTGAGGATCTGTCATCCAATCATTGTCAGGTGGAAGTAAGGGTGGTAAGTGGGTAGGTCCCGGGCCTAAATGGGCCAAGTGGGCTGATCCCAAATTAAACGGGCCAAACGGTCCCTGGCCAAATGGTTTTTTTGCAGGAACCGGCCCGGGACCGGGTCCACAAACTCATGGTCCCGAGCTAAACGGTCCCGACCCGTGGGATAAATGCGCTAAGTGGGCCCAACGGATTTTTAAAAAAAAATAAATAGAAATTATACACAAAAAGATGTTAAAAAAAATATATAAGGCAATACCTTGTAAATTTTATTATAGAATTGTGACCTAGATTTTTTAATTCAAATTTAAAGTCTAAAGACAAAAATATTGTAAAGAAATATTCAAAGCAAGGCCTTGTAATTTTATTATAGCATTAAAAAAATAGCAATATATTTCTTAGTCTTCCTTCCCCCTATGGAATGAGCACAACAAGGTGCCAATACCACCATTGAGAAGAAAAAGAAACTAATCAAGATGTGCCAAAATACAAGTTACATAATACATACTAATTTTTGTTCATACAAGTTACGTGGTATCTTTTACAAACATCATAAATCTATCAAGGTCTAGAGGAATTTCCGTTGGTTGTGGCGAAAAAGTAGCTTGGTGATCGCCGCTTCCGGGTGAAGCAGCATCCTCCGCAAGTTCAGCTAACATTTCTTCGTAAGCTTCGTCTTCCTCTGGTTGTGATTCAGCAAGTCCAAAATTTTTTCTTTCCGACGGGATCCAATCTCTGAAAAGTAATGATTTTTCCAAGCTCTCCCTCATAGACGTTCTATAATCACCGAGTTGAAGTCTTTCTTGACTGTAAGTGCTCTCCGATGCCACTGTTGAAGCTTTAATAGTTAAAATATCTTGTGCCATCCTTGAAAGAATTGGAAAGTATTTTTCTTTGTCCTTCCACCATTCCAAAAGATTAAAGGAGCCGTCGAGATTCACTTCCTCAATTCCATGCGACAAATAAACTTCAAGCTCATTTAGTTGTGAAAAATCACTACTACTAGAACCTTGAGAACCCCTAAACCCCCGCCCAAGCACTAAGTGCTCTTACTCCCACAGTTCTTTTAGATGATTGGAAATCAGAAGAAGAAGAAGTTGGAACATTTGGTCTAGCATGATTTAATGTAACTCAATAAGCATTAAAAATAGTTTGAGCATTTATTCTAGTTTCACCAGCTCTAATATTATAGCAAAATTGACTCTCAATAAATTGTAATAAATTATTATCTCTATCAAGAATAGAAGGTGTAGGACGAATATGGGGTTTGGTTCGGGGAGCCCGGGGCAGTGGAGGAGGAACATATTGAGCACTAGATTCGCCATTCTTAGATTTTTCCTTATTTTTATCAAAAGGTTTTTTAAGGAAGCCATCTTAATTAATCAAGTGATAGAAAATAAATAAAACAAATAAAATTATAATATTAAAACTTAAGAGTTGGAACGAGTTTACTGAATTAACGAACAACTTGTTGAAAATTGATTATCGTTGAAGACTTCAATTCACCAGCTTCAAATTTTTTTCACAAATTATAACAATAAAGTAAGCAATTATAACAATTATAGCAATTACAGAAGAAAATTAGAGAGAGATTGTGCTAGATTGATGATTTTGTAAGAAAAATGAAAGAATAAGGAGGTATTTATAGTTGCAAAATAGGAAAAAAGTATAATTATAAAAAGTCTGAGGTTAAAACAAAGTTGGGAGGGGTTAAATGGCTATTTTTTAAATAGCCAACGACTATTTTGTGACAGCCTCCAATGGCTAGATTTTCAATAACATATTTTTTAAAAAATTTGATAGTTGGGACCGTTTGGCCCGCCAGGGACCGGTCCTAGCGGTCCCAATAGCCGAACAAGCCCAGAAGCTCAGATCAAGCCCACGAATACCGGTCCTGGCCCGTTTGGCCCGTGGTCCCGAGCCAGTCCCGGACTGGGCTACTTGCCACCCTTAGGTGGAAAATTCCTTTGTTCCACCTTTTGTTGCTTAGATTATTCCTCTTAATTACGTGATTGCCACCAGATTGACATTTATTGAATATATTATATATTTTTATTGTCATTGTTATTTATACGACATCTATTGCAAGGGATCATTATAGTATTCATAAATACTTCTCAACTATCTCTGTTATCAAGATTTGAGGAAATTATTCTTAACTAAGATTAACCCATATTTAATTAGAATTAATTACTTGAACCAAAATTTACGTTTTTGGGTCAAACAATTTGGCTCCGTCTGTGGGTATTTCCTAGTTAAATTTTTAGTTTCTTCTAGATCTATAACCAACACGAATCACTAACATTACAAAGCCCTAGATCTTTTCTCTTTCCTTGTGCAAAATCTGACATGGCAGGTAACTGAGAAAAAATGGCGAGGATAACAAATAACTTACCGACCAACCTCATAACTGTCCTCAACGAGAGCTGCGAAATAGCCGGTGAGGATACGACTCCCAATGCTTCCCCTAGATGATATGGGTCACCTCCCCCTCACTGCAGCATCGCAAAATCTCTTGGTAAGGGAGCCTCCACATCTGTGGCAGAGGAGACGCTCCTAGCTGTAAAACCGTTCCTTAAGGAGTGTCTAATCGACCATACTGAGTAGAGGGTCTATCATGATTATGTTTCCTCTAGCCTAACCATATACTTCATTCAACCCCATCAAAAATTGAATGAGTCTTTCATCCTCTTGTGATTTTTCATGTGGTTTCTTTCCCTCGCAGACACAAGTGCATGTACATTTGATGTTGCAATTAAGTGAATCTAAATCATCCCATAATCGTTTAAGCTCTGTGAAGTAACTAGCTATGTCACTTGTTCCTTGAGTTAATCCAGCTAATCTTTCTGCAGATGGTATAACTTTGCACCATTCGACTGTCCAAATCTATGTTCCAAACTGGTCCATAAATTCGTTGCAGATTTGGAGTAGATTACACTGTTTCCAATATCTTTGGAGAGAGAATTCGACAGCCAGGATGTAACCATGTCATTATATCTACTCCATGGTTGAAAGTCTTTGGAAGTAGGAGCTGGAGCTGGGCAATTCCCCTTTATAAAGCCCAACTTGTTCTTTGCTGAAAGAGTTATTAAGATAGATCTCTTCCCGCCCTGATAACCTTTTCCATCGAAAACAGCATTCACCAAGCTCATGTCAGGTGCATATGAGGAGTGAAGGAAGTAAGGGTGATTTGAATCAAAATTGGGTCCATTTCCAGTTGAAGACCCACTTGATTGAATTTCAGTTGAATCAGGCATGATGAAAAGAGAATGAAAAACAAACTAAAGTGAAAATCAGAGGAGAGACGAAGCTGAATTCCCTTGGATCGAGCTACTGCTCTGATACCATGAAAGAAAGAAGGGAAAATGTAGAAAATTTTCTGTATCTTCTGATTGATTTCTTTCTGTACAAGCCATGTATATTTATACAAGTATATTCCTGGTAAAAGAAAACTAGAATAAAAAATAGAAATAGAAGAATCCTATAGTATTTGTACACTTGTCATGTTTGTACTAGACTAATTATAACAAAATAACCAACTAATATTCCTTTCTATCTCTCATACGTGTGAACCTTCTTATATGTATGAGAAGGTTCCTAAATTATGTTATTATTTACACGGTCCAAATTTAATCTATCATAACCAACTTTAGAAACTAGGATGTTGCCATCTATCCCTTCAGATTTGAGACTTCATGACTTATCCCACTTTGTTTTCTCCGAAGTCATTCTTTATTCTTTGACTCTCACATTTTTCTTCTTCTCTACTTTGTGAGCACCCATGGTGAGATTGATTTTCAGCACACACACCTCTCCTAGTTGTTTCAATCAACTCTACTGACATATTAATTCAAAGAATGCAAGCTCTAGAAAAACGAGAGCAAGTTTCGAGACAGAGGAAACATAGGAAGCATGTCACTGCAGTTGATAAATTTATCTCCCCTCCTTCACCTGTTAATAATATGTCCAATAATCTGCCGGTAAGTTTTATTTTGGTGTTATATTCCTTAGAAATATTACTGGCAAATTAGTTTATCCTTATTATATCTTGATCTTTATACTGATACATAGCATCGTTGACTCCGGATGAGGCACTTGCATATTCCAAAAGAGAGATTGAGAATGCCCTACTAGTTAGAGATGATCAGGGCTTTCATACTCCTTTGTTCAGGAATGTATCTGCCTTTAAGAGACATTTGATTATAGTTTTAGATAGCTTATTTTCTTGGTTATGATGATATCCTTCGATATGATGTTACTGAGTGATTGTGTTTTGTTTTTCTTTGGTGGAATATGTACTCAGATATGACATATTTCTGTTTGTGATTCTAAAATTGAGTAATTAACAATCCCCACTGTCAAGAAGCTTAACAATCATAACATCATTATTTTTCCTGTTTTGCAAGGTCCAGTTGTTAAAGCAGTAGCTGACATGTCATTAATGAAAAATCTGAAATTGAAGTTTTCATGAATTTCAACATGTAGGTCATAGTAGAAGCTAGAGTAGTTAAATGAACATATCGTATATATTAGCAATTCAAAAGTCTCTCTACCCACTATTATAAACTGCTTGGGTCACGTCTTGTGAGATAGTTGTAAATGTATTATGACTTCAGATTTTGCTTTCTGTATATTGACCAGCAACCATCGGCTATTGAATTCTCTATTAACCAAGAAATTCTCGAGGGCTAGTGGCGCGCAGTTCGAAACTCTATGGATAATGGCCCCGCCCCTCTATCCTGTTTGGAGAGGTTCTCTACTTTTTGCTATATTGCTTGTTTATGGAAGATTTTTCCAGTATTAATAAGATTATTTACCTTATAAAAAAAGCATATTAAAATAGAAGTAATCACAAGTGTCAAACTATTCTAAGTGTAGAAAGATCTTTGTAGTTTCACAGCCAATAGTAGACTGCTTTTAGTACTGCATATGAAACTGAATAGTAAAGATACGAAACTCTTTCTGTTTCTTGTGTTAAAATGCATGTACAAGCACTGTATGCATGTTCAAATGTCAGTGCAGCTCTAGAGGGAATTTGCAATTATTGGATGAGTTTTTGAACATTTTCTGGTTATTGATTTCATAACTTTTGTGTTTTGGATTGATGGATATTTTTATATTTTCTAACTACCCTATGTTTTAACAAATTCTTACAGGGACCTTATATTCTAAAGGACCACGATGAGCTATGTAGAAACACCATAAAAGATCTATGCAATGCAGATATATCAGAAGGAATATTTGTTGCAGGGAAAGATGTTTCCCTTCTAGAGACCACGATAAGGAATCCCAAGAGGCCTCTTAGAAACCTTGGCGGAAAAAGAGTGTCACAACGCCCGATTCTTGCCTTTTTCGCTGGAAATATGATCGGTCCGGTCCGGTCCGTCCCAAACTTCTTAAGTATTGGAGGGACAAAGATGAATCCATAAAAATTTATGGACCTTTACCCCATAGAGTCTCAAGAGTTATGTCTTAATACGAACACATGAAATCAAGCAAGTTCTGCCTTTGTCCGATGGGTTACGAAGTTAACAACCCGAACATTGTCGAGGTGATATATTATGAGTGTGTTCCAGTTATCACTGCTGATAATTTTGCCCGTCCATTTGACGAAGTTCTTAAGTGGATGGCTTTTTCTGTGGTTGTTGCTGAGGAGGATATTCCTAGGCTAAAGGAGATTTTATTGAGTATACCTATAAACATTATCAGTCCATGCAAAATAATGTCAAGATGTTGCAGAAGTATTTTCTCTAGACTCAACACCGACTAAGTATGATATGTTTCGTATGATTTTGCATTTAATTGGGTTTAGCCGGCTCACCAGCTTCAAGTGTTGGGAAATTTAATCCCCACAGAGATAATATGCACGGTATACGACTATAATAAATGCAGATTACTATAATACTGTAATCAACGGTAATAATAAGAGAAATAAGGACACCGAGATATTTACGTGAAAAACCCTTCTGAATAATTGAAAACCCACGGCCCGAGAGGAGCAACTGATTTCACTATAGCGAGGATTTTACAATTTGTGGTACCGAGTAAAATAGTCCAAACCACTAAACACTCCAAAGAAATAACCTTCTTTTGATTTTTTCACCTCACTACAATACGGCTCAATCTCTCTATATTTTTCCTCACAAAATATTTTGCTTCTTACTCTGTAAATCACTCTCTTTCTCTTTATTTTGGTGTGATTACAAATGGAGGTAGAGGCACCTATTTATAGTTAAAGAATGCCCATAGTGATGTATGCAATGACATCAATATTCACTTCAAAAGCTAGTTGCCCAAATTGAACTTCTAAATTGGTTGGCTTGACAAAACCAAAAAGTATGCTTCATCTTCTTTCACATGTGCCATGGGATGGACCCAATAAATCTCCCCATCCAGTCCTATGCACCTGAAGGTGGTAACAAAATGGTTTCTAGTTTGAGTGCATGCTCACAAGCTCTTTTCATAGCTCAAACTTATCTCTCGGTACCACCTTGGTCAGCATATCCGAAGGATTCTTACTTGTATAGATCTTCTTGACATGCATAGATCCATCCTCTATCCTTTCTTGAATCCAGTGATATTTCATGTCGATATGCTTTGTCCTTGCATTATACATGGTATTTTTGCTCAGGTCTATTGCACTTTGACTGTCACAATAGACGACATAATCCTTTTGATGTAATCCAAGCTCTCGAAGGAACCGTTTTAGCCAAACCATCTCATTTCCAACTTCAGTAGTGGAAATATACTCTGCTTCAGTTGTAGAGAGTGCGACACACTTTTGCAACTTCGACTGCCATGATATAGCTCCACCTGAAAAAGTGAATAGGTATCCTATAGTAGATTTACGATTATCAAGATCACTTGTCATATCAGCATATGTGTAGCCCTTCAAGACTGGATCTAATCTCCCAAAAAACAAGCATCCATCTGAGGTTTCTTTTAGATACCTAAGTATCTACTTCACAACTTCCCACTGTTCTTTTTCGGGATTATCCAGAAACCTGCTAACAATACCGACAACATGAACAATATCAGGTCTGGTACATACCATTGCATACATCAGGCTCTTGACGACAGAGGAATATGGAACTTTAGCCATTCTTTCTTTATCTTCCTTTGTTGTAGGACACATTATCTTGCTCAACTTTATTGATCAGCAAGAGGTGTGCTAACTGGTTTAGCATTCATCATGTTGAAGCGTTTAAGTATACGTTCAATATACTTATGATGTGATAGCAACAACTTACGATTTGTCCAATCTCAGACAATCTCCATTCCTATAATATGTCATGTTGGACCCAAGTCTTTCATGTCAAATGACTTGGACAATCTTCCTTCAACTTGACAATCAACTTCTTGTCTTGTCCTACAATCAGTATGTCATCCACATATAAGAACAAGATGATAAAGTTATTGTTAGAGAATTTCTTATAGTATACACATGGATCTGAAAAAGTATTTGTCTACGTTTGACTTCTCATGAATGAGTCAAACTTCTTGTACCATTGCCTAGGTGCTTGTTTCAACCCATAAAGACTTTTTTTCAACTTGCACACCATGTGTTTCTTCGCCTTTACTTCAAAACTTTCTGGCTACTCCATATAAATCTCTTCTTCCAAATCTCCATGCAGAAATGCAGTTTTCACGTCCAACTGCTCCACTTCAAGATCTAGGCTAACTTCCAAGCTCAATATTGTTCGAATAGAAGTCATTTTGACAACAGGCGAGAGAATTTCATCAAAATCAATACCTTTCTTCTGTTCGAAACCCTTTACCACCAATCGAGCTTTGTGCCTGACCAGCTTGCCATTTCCATCTTTCTTGAGCTTAAAGACCCGCTTGCACTTGAGAGGTCTTTTGCCTTTTGGAAGTTCAACTAGTTTGTACGCATCACTCTATTGTAGAGAATTCATCTCTTCTTGGATGGATTCCATCCACTGGATTTGTTCCGGATGAGATAGCAGCTCCTTGAAATTCTCTGGCTCCCCCTCATCAGTGATGAGGATATACTCCGAAGAAGGATACTTTGTGGACTCTACCTTCTCTCTTTCAGATCTTCTCAAAGGTTGTTAGCCTTCTTGTTGTTGTTGTTGCTCTCCTTCTTCCTCTTGTGGACTAGGGTTCTCCCCCTGATCAGCAACCTCTTAATCTACGCCTTCCGCGTGCCATTCTTCATATGTGTAAGGATTACGAACAAGTACAATAGGAGTAGTAACAAAGTTAGTAACTGTACCATTATTATTTTTGATCTTTATTGATTGATCACTATCAATTCCGACCACATCTTCTCTGAAGATCACATCTCTGCTTCTGATGAACTTTTTCCTTTATGGGTCCCATAATCTGTAGCCAAACTCTTCGTCTCCATAACCGATAAAGATACATGGAATAGCTTTGTCATCCAGCTTCGTTCTTTTCTCTTTCGGCACATGTGCAAAATCTTTACATCCAAACATTTTCAGATGGGAGTAGGACACCTCTTTGTTGGTCCAGACTTTCTTTGGAATGTCAAACTCCAATGGAACTGATGGGCTTCTATTAATCAAGTAATATGTTGTGCGAGCTGCTTCACTCCAAAATGACTTAGGTAGTTTTGCCATTTTGAGCATACTTTTCACTTTTTCGACAATGGTGCGATTCATCCTTTCAGCTACACCATTGTGTTGTGGGATTCCAGGAGCTGTCTTCTTATGTCTGATTCCGTGGCTTGAGCAGTAGTCTTCAAACTCGTTTGAAGTATACTCCCCCCATTGTCTGTCCTGAGACGCTTTAATTTTTAACTTGTCTCTCTTTCCACCAGAGCATGGAATTTTTGAAATACTTGGTCTTTGTTTCTCAAGAAATAAACCCACAATTTTCGTGAAGTGTCATCAATAAATGTGAGAAAATATTTGTTACCTTCCATTGATTCTACATCCATTGGACCACAAACATCTGAATGTACTAAATCAAATATATTCGATTTTCTTTCATGAGTTGCTTGAAACGATACCCTGTGTTGTTTTCCAAATAAACAATAATCACAAGAATTCACAGTTGTACCTTTTGCAAATGAGATGAATGACTTTTTGGATAGGATCTGCAGTCCCTTCTCACTCATATGGCCCAATCTCCGGTGCCATAAATCTGCAGGCGTATCATCTACAACCGCATGTAATCCATCTTCGAATATCTCAACGGTTGTCTTGTACAATGTGTAGGGATCAACTTCTTTAGTAATCACCAATGATCCCTTGGTGAGTCTCCACTTCCTATTGGCGAAGTGATTCTCGTACCCATCTCGATCTAGAGCGATCCCTGAAATCCAATTCATTCGCAGATCTGGTATGTGTCGTACTTCTTTTAAAACTAATGTACATCCAACATTTGTCTTGATACAAATGTCGCCAATCCCCATAATCTTTGAGTGACTGGCATTTCCCATCTTGACCATTCCAAAGTATCCTGCTTTATACCTACAGAAGAATTCTCTTATCGGTATGACATGGTAGGATGCAATTGTATCAACCACCCATTTCGACTTTTGGCTTGCTAAGTGCATGCATTCCTCCTCCTCGTGAACGAAGAGAACCACCGAATCATCGTTGTGCACTACAGCTGTTGTGTTGTCATCATTCTTCTGGCTACTGCTCTCGCCTCGATCTTTCTTTGGGAAATCTCTTTTTTAAGTGACTGGGTTAACCGCAATTGTGGCAATTTCTACCCTTTGACCGGTTTTTGGACTTTCCACGAGCTTTGGATCTATCACGGCTACTCGATGCTCTATAAAAATATCTTCCTATGTTTTCCATGATAAGATCCCACCCCTGATTTTCGGGCTTCTTCATCATCTTATCATTGAGTAGGATGGCTAATGTGACCTCCTTTAAATCAGTGGTATCTCTACAATGCAGGGTGGTTGTTGCCAAATTATCATAGGAAGAGGGCAACGAATTTAGAAGCATGATAGCCTTATCTACTTCAGTGATTATTTCTCCAAGGTTTTCCAGCTGCGTGATTAATCCATTGAACATATTTAAATGGGACAAGAAATTTATACCTTCACTCATATGGTTGGCATAAAGTTGTTTTCTCAAACACAACTTGTTTGTTAAGGATTTGGACATGTGTAGACTTTCTAGTCTTTTTCAAATACCACATACACTACTTCTATCCCCGACATTATTGAGTACTTCATCGGACAAGTGCAGTCTGATTGCACTAGTCGCCTTCTTATCCATGTCTGCCCATTCCTCGACTTTCATGGTTTCTGCCTTTGCCTCTTTTCCATCTAGTGCAATGTCTAACCCTTGTTAGATGAGTAGGTCCTTCATCCTTCTTTGCCATATGGAGAATCCGTCATTACCGTTGAATCTTGTTACTTCATACTTTACTCCTGATATTTATTTTTGTCACAAAGTAAAATTGATTGTAAATAATATTTCTGTGAATGAGCAGAACCTTTGCTTTGATACAGTTGTTGGGAAAATTAACCCCCACAGATATAATATTCACGGTATACGACTATAATAAATGCAGAATACCTCGATTTATATTGCAAAACAATCACGAAATAACATAGAACACAGTAAAAATAACTAATATACATTTTTTATACATGCGGTTTAATATAAAATAAGTCGGAATACCTCGATTTAAAGTTTTTGAAAAGTTGATAATTTGGTGATTTTGAGCCGAAACAAGCAACCCACTATGA